ATCGCGCAAAAATGCCGTTAACAGGCAGAGCTAGTAAGAATGAAATAAGACATCCTGAAAATATGTCGAAAAACCCGAGACTTTATTTTTTGTTGCTTATGAGGACCCGCATGCTTGAATTGACAAACACCAGTAAGAATCCGAATCAAGAGGTTTGATTCTTTTGTAAGTTTTGCTAGGGTTTTCCTCTCACACTGAAAGTGTGGGCGATTGATTTAAAGTGTTTATTGCCACACCTATATGTCCTCCGCTTAGAACAGCACCCGAAAAAAAGAGAAACGGGCTGCTGTGCTGCTTGCTTGCTTTGCTGAGAAAAAGTTGGACGAAATGTTGGATAAGTGAGTTCGTCAAACTCGTGCTTTCTTTTCTCCGAAATAGAAGAGCCAGACTGGGGAGTTATTTCTCTCGAACTCATTCCAGTGAGAGTGTGACTCATATTCAACTGTTGTTTCTGTGAGACGGTAGAGTACCGAGTGATACTTTGAACGTTTTTGTGTCTTGACAGTTGCATAATAGCAGTTGGCGGTACGTCGTTGTTGCCAGATTTTTTACATTGAGTACTGTCAAAGTAAACGGTGCATCGTTGGTTTCCATTTCCGCGGGTCGCTTTTCTGCGTAGACTTTGTAGGCTTTTACTGGAAATTTCTGGTTGTTCGGCACAGAAAACATTTTCGGTGCAATGGCTCTTACATTGTACTCTTTCTTGTACGAGTTTTGGTTTGTCTTTCATTGAATTCGAGGTACTCCTGCCCTGTGGAAGTTTTGAAAAAGTTTTACGTCTCCCCTTGAACACATTTGTCTATGCTCCTTGCAGCCTAGTAACTTAAAATGGATTATGTTGTTGAGCCATACCGTGTTTAAAAGCGCTTCTGCCCTGGAACTTCCCATGAGAGATCCTTTTCAAACAGAACTTGAATATCTTCCTCACTTAAAGCAGCAGAAGCATTAGGCTTGTTGCCCATCCCTTTCCGTTTTAGATCCCTTTGCTTTGACTGAGGCGCTTTCCGAGTTCGCTCGAACTGGACGTTTTTCATAAGGCAAAGTCCATACTATATTTTTCTTCATATGGCGCTGAAAACTGGCGAAGAAAGTCCTTAGGGAATTAGGCTTGTATTCCTCGTTGTGTTCTTTTTGGCGAACCGTTATAAGGAACTCGCTGAGAAACTTGTTCAGCGCTGGAGGAGTCATTCGTCCATTCGTCTCGTCTTGCCTTTAAAAACAAGAAATTCATGGAACAGAGCAACGTCGTGTTTTTTGCTTGGTTTTTTTTTTTGGTGTTTTTCGTCATAAGGCAAAGTCCATAGTTTTTTTTTCCTTCAAATGGCGCTAAAAGCTAGCGAAAAATGCCCTTAAGGAATTAGGCTCGTATTCCTAGTTGTCTTCTTTTCTGCGAACCGTTAGAAGGAACTAAAGTTGTTCAGCGCTTGAGGGGTCATTCGTTCATTTGCCTCGTCTTGCCTTTCAAAACAAGAAATTCATGGAACAGAGTAACATATTGTTTAGTCTTTTTCTTAGTGTTCTCATTTTCTGTCTGTCTATGAACTCTTCTACTGATAAATCTAGGCTCTGAAAACGGTTAATCTGATTTTAAGCCATCTTTCTTAAAAAAAAAAAAAAAGTGCGCCTAAGCTCTTAGAAATGTGCAATTTGTCTGTCAAGAGGAGCGGCGAGCAAGCGCTACGGTTTTTTTCACTAGCGAAAATAATGATAATCGTATGACCAATCAGCTGGGGTCTCTAGCGCGAAGAAACTATTTTTGTCTCGATGAATTTTGGCGCGTAAATCTCGGTATGTATATAATAATGAATAATACGCGGCTTCGCTCGGAAAGCTTCGTTTTGCGCCGGCCAACTAGTGGTTATTTATTTTAAAATTGCCGACTTGCATAGAGTGACAAACAGCGACCGAGTCGTTAGGGGGACATGGAGCCGGTAATCTGTTGCTAAAGGATTGATAGGGCTTATTAACTGCGTGAAGCGATAAGGATTTCTATTTCACGCGCTAGGATTAACTTTTAAAACAGTAATTCATGTGTTCAAACTGAGCTCCTCTGGACCTTGTGAAACACGTCGTGCTCACTGAATTCCTCGTGAAAATCCTGAGGGAAAGTGATTTGTCGTGAGTGTTTCCTCTTTTATTACAACTTTCGAAAAGGACAGGAGATCTTCATTTTCGCTTATATTCTGCTAGTAACATACTTGACAAACACAAGTGACAAATTAAGCTGGGTTGTAAAAGATAAGTTAGCGTGTTGAGGAAACAAAGGAACTTAGCGTGTTAAAAAAAAAAAATCTAGCGAGTTCTAGATTCAAAGCTCTACCGCGCTGGCCAGATATGAAAAATGACTACCAACACGCTTTCCAGAATCAATTTTTTTTATGTACATATCTGCACGGTAAGCGTGTTATGCTACTGGCGCGCGAGCGTGTTATAACGTGCCGTGTGCGTGCGTTCATCTTATTCCCTGAAATCCGTGGAGTGTCACAACTAATAATTCCGATACTGATTTGTGATAGGAAACAAAACCAGGCAATGGGGAAAAAGGTTTTTCTCCGCGCTGATATCCATTATTTCGAGCGCTTAAATTAGGTTTGTGTCCATTGTGTCCTTTTTCCAAGCCTTTTGGGTGTAAAATATTTTTAAAGTCTCTGAGGGGTGGCTGGAATATTTAGGAAATGAGAAATGTGGACAACATTGAACCAGATAAATTGCTTTGCTTTTAGAGAGAGGATTCTTGCGTTCATAAATGTAAAGAAAGTTTTATGAACAGAAAAGTGTAAGATATGATATAAAATGGAATATGAAAGTAGCCCCAAACAAAAATTTTGTAACAAAAACTTTCTCTGAATCTCGTTGTGAATGACTTTACATTGGCGATTTTTTTTCAATAAGTTAAAGTTTATTACCTGAACAACCCATTTAAAACAAAAGCAAAAAAGGAAAAAATAATAATACTAAATGTAACATACAGTCGAGTTATTAAGAAAAAGCAGAATCTACTGAGCTTCAAGCTTTGAAAAGACAAAAGGATGGTTATAAAGTTACTGTAGTAATTTATGACAGTAAACGGTGGCGACAAGTAGGCACGCCATGTATATTTCATAATCGCTGGCAAGTAAATTTTGCCGAACTTTGAGTTCGTTTCAAGATGAAACAACTCAAATACACAATTAAATATTTACAGTGACTTTATAACCATCCTTTTGTCTTTTAAAAGGTAGAAGCTCAGTAGATTCTGTTATGCTACTTTTGGACATGGGAAAAGTATGTCGGACAAAATTATTCACCAAAAAATAAATATTCCTTTGCCGGCTTCAGCAATGACAGTGGATTAAGTTTAGATGATAAAAGAAAGGATTATGTTGACAGAAATACCGGAGGTCAAGTATATTCATGACACGAGGTCACACAACACAGGTAATATTTACGGTAAAAATTTGCATATTTTAACGGTCGAACGAGAAAAGTCATTTCTCGAAAACTGGAATATATTTTCACAAAAAAAACTGCGCCACAATTGTTAAGACATATTGGGCTACAAAATATGAAAGTAGGAGTGAAAACGAATTTTGAGCTACTGACACCCTCTCTTAGTTGGATTGCGGGAAAATACTGACACACTTCGGCGTTTGATTCTTTGTGATGACTTTTTGCAAATACATTTTATTAAAGGCCATGTTTAGTACTCAGTTAAATGACACTCATTTTATTGTACTTGCTTCCTTCGACTCACGAGAGGAGATAACAGTTTAATCGAGTTATTGTTATGCAGCGTGTGGTTGTGTTTTTTAAAAGCGGCGCGCGCACGAATTTTTTTTTTCTTGAAGGCATCCGCGAGTATATGTAAGAGCAGTCTATTAGTTACAAGGGGTGCTATTTTCTGGAATACAATTACATTCAAACATCCGCATAGAGCAAAAATGAACGATGGACTATACATTCGAAACTGAGCAAGATTCATGAACTAAGAGACTTTCATTTCAAAGTGACATCCGCTTCAATTATAAAGTGAAAAATTATGAGCGTAAAAATTACCTTATTGGTACTAATTTTCGCGTCGCTTTAATTCCGTGAATTTCGCGATTTAAAAAAAAAAATCGCGAACTTAAAGCGACGCGAAAAAAAAAATCCCGCGAACTTTAATGTCGCGAAATTTAATATCCTCCTATATTCCTTGGTTTTTATAATTTAATGAGGAAACATATGTCTACGTATTGTGTATAATGTGTAAAAGTTTTATGGCGTGCCTACAGATGACGAATAACAGTTTAACAGTCAAATTTCACTATCTGCGTTGTTTTGAACCTCTTCGTCTGTATCGCTATCGTCGTCTTCAGGTCCTTTCAGCACCTATTTTGTACAGTCATCGAAATGGCCATCTATCCCGGGTGTTTCATAATTTTAACGATAACCTGTTTATAGTATTGCCTTGTTCCTTTCGGATCCATCTCAGCTGTACCTTATACGGGAATTTCCAGTCCTCCTTGCACTAGTGGAGATCTTCTGTGATTCTTGCCGATGACTTAAGCACAAACAACCCCTCCTCTGAGTAGAAAAAGCGTGTTGCTCTGGAAATTTCCCCGGGAAAGTGACCAACTGCAGAGTTTGCAAGACAGCCTCAAAGGCGCTAGGTCGCGGCAATAGCATAGCGATCGTAACAGTTGTTTCTCTCGTAGCAGCATTTTAATTGCTCTCCAACAATCGGACTCCAAACCTCGTTATAAACGTGAAACCCGCGGAGACCGCACTTCAACCAATACGTGATAGACCCACTGTGATCTCTGCTCGCCATATCAAGATCTGGTGTTTTTTCTGTTCCCCTCAATGTGGGTGTTCTGTTGCAGTCCATTGTATTGTGACAGCTAAAGGTAACACGTGGTATTTGTAAACTGAGATTGGAAACCAACAACAAACAAAACACAATAGTCTCTCTGTTCCCTTTATTAGCGTTACAGCGCTGCGAAGATGCGCCACATTCTGGTTTAAGTTTCTTTGGTAAAATGTCCTTGTTTCGTTGCGGTTTCACGGTTCAAAATAAAAAAGTAATGGAACGTCCAAACAATTCTGATGCCTCTGAAGACCTGGAAATTGCTGTTCCGGCCTACTTTCCAAGCCAAGAAAGCACTTCCTTGGGCAATGTCGAATATTTTGCCGTGGAATCGTCTGTTGCGAGCTTGGTGAATCCTCACTCGAATGAAGGTTCCTCGACTACTTCAGCAGCAAGAAAACGTGGAAAATACCAACACTATTCGGCTGAAACATGCGCCAAGATTGGGAAATATGCCAGTGAGAATGGTAATTCGAAAGCCATCAATCATTTCAAGGAGGAACTCCCAACATTAAAGGAAAGCACTGTAAGAACTTTGAAGCGGGCTTATGAGAAGAGACTACGCGAGGAGAAGAAAAAAGGTAACACAGACGCGACTGTCATTGCTATCCCGAGTGACACCCGTGGACGACCACCAATACTCTGTGACCTGGACAGTATATCAATCTCTCTTCTTAGGAGCATTAGAAGCCGGCAGAGGTGGAGTAGTTAGTTTCTGTGTCGTGAAGGCAACAGCGCTGGCGCTTGTTGATAGTAATAAGACGCCATATTTAAGAGAATTTGAGCCTACAGTGACTTAGGGTGAAATCCATTTATAGGTGCTGCAATTTTACTCGCCGAGCTGGAACAACCACTCGTCCTCCAGTTCCCAGAGGGATGTTTGAAGAATCTAACCTTACATTTCTCACTGACATTAACAAGATGAGGTTTTAATTTCCCCAGAGGAATCGCGATTTCCGAGAATCCGAAACATTGCTCTAATGAAGATGAAACTCTAACCTTCATAGATAAATTAATCGTCCCCTATGTCGAGAGGAAAAGAAAGGAGCTCAAACTGGCGCCAACTCAAAAAGCTCTGCTGATTTGGGATGTGTTTAGGGGCCGAAAAACCGCAAAGGTTTAGAAGAAACTGGTATCGCTAAATATTGCGATTGTGTCGGTGCCCGCCAATGTGACCCACTTCTTTCAGCCTCTGAATCTCACCGTCAATGGGGAGTCCAAGAGATTTATCAAGGACAAGTTTACGATATGGTACTCGGACGAAGTAAAGCAGCAGATAGAATCGGGAGGTCAGTCCTAAAACCACTTCATACCGTCTGGTTGGTGGACCTTTACAACCACCTGAGTAGTCCTGTTGGTGTGGGACACATTGCGAAAGGATGGGAGAAAGCCGTGATCTCCGGCCTCTTAGATAAACAAACAAATCTCCCTCAAGAAGACCCCCTCACTGATATTGAGCTCGCCCTAGAAATTGATTAGATGCCCAATAACTTTATGCCAATGGTACACAAGCTCTAGTCTATTTCACGGCTACAGTGTAAATATGTATTATACAATTACAAAGAACGTTAAGCATTAGGATAATGTCTTTGACTATGCCTATGGTACACTATGCAGTTTCTATAATTTGGTTTTGTTATGAATTGATGATTTTAAGCAATAAGAAGTGTAAAATAATAATAAAATTAACGAAATAATTTCGCGAAAATTGATTCCGGAAGAAAATAATTTTGCGCCCAAATCGCGAAAATAAAGACCCGCGAGATATGCCGACCTTTTTTTCGCGAAATTAAGTGCCCGCGAAAATTAGTACCAATAAGGTACTTGAGTCTTTCCTTTCCTACGAGAAAACAGGTATCTATGTTAAAAATAGAATACTTATAAATTAAATAAATTAATTGGACACTCACTTGGTAGATCATAATTGGAAAATGTCGCGTGAATCGGAAACAAGTCGGTACCCACACCTTTCCCTGTTCGTCGTCAATCATGGTAGTCTACGTAAATTTGGTATATAATTGAGTCCGCTCTTTATGCAGCGTTGGTTGTAATTTTCGAAATATGCCAGCTGTGTTAAAAGTTCACCGAAATCACTATTTGAATCTTGGATTTGCATACTCCTATATCTTATTTTAGTTAGTCTGAATAAAATGTCATCGGGAACAAGTTGGACTTTAAAGCAGAAGCGGGATTGAAAGCTGCATGTTGACGGTCACGGAAGCAGAAGCAAACTAGGTGTCAAACATAAAAAGAATTTTCAGTGCCAAAAACTGTTGAAAAGGAAAAACATTCGTGATTTGTTCTCATAAAGGATCGATCTAAATATGCGAAACAAAAAATATTCCCCGAAGAAGAATTTTGTGAACAGACGAGCACTGCAATTTGTGCCATTTATGATGGTCGGCGCTGTCAAAAACAGGCCTTTGAACGCGAACGCGATTTCCACACGGGAAAAATTTATTTTTCAATATTTCGGAGAACCAAGGTGGTCTCAAATACTCTTAGACTAAGACCGATTCATGGGAATAGTTTGAAAGAGATCAGTTTTTGGACCGAAATGCACCGGTCCGCTCTAGAGAGACTAAGACTTAAATGTCCAGGAACTCGAACATCATGATGTTTCCTATGACGCCATTGAAATCCTCTCTGTTTAAAAATAACAGATTGCCGAATGGTTGACTTATAAATGGATGTCTTAAAAGACATCTACGCCCGAAAAGCGAAACTATATAATAGTATCGACAGATTTACCTGAAAATATAAATACGTTGCTGTATCATCAACCTGGGTTCTTACCAAAAACATTCCTAGCCACTTAATCATGCAAGCAATATAAAGGAACGATGGGCATGGACGACGAAAGACTTAAGGGATAACTGTAACAGTTACGACACCGAAATGATCAGTCATTCGTTAAAGTCACAAAGTGTATCGTTGTTCATAAAACAATGTTATTAGCTAAGGCTAAGCTTTTAAGTCATCAATCAGAAAAACTCAACCCGGTTTATCGGTTCTCAGCCTAATTATCTTTGGAGGGTTAGTGTGTAAGGACGGGGAGGAAGGTTGGGTAGCCACTGGAGGCTTATTTCGCCCATCTTCGGGAGGGGAGTTCGTTCACTCCTGCTGAATTTTAAATCCACCGACATGAATTTCCAAGCGACTTTTTTGCTGCAATTATCTTTACCGTGAGATCTTATTTCCACTCAGCTTTGTCTATATAATGCGTTTACGTGCAATACTTTTCGAAACCAGTTGAGTTACTTTTTCATCATTAGTCTGGTTTTGACATGATTTTCCGGAAGGTGTGAGTTATTTAGAAAACCATAACTTGCAACTCATTTTGGTAAGCGCCTTTTCTTCAAGCGAGTTTTAAAAGTTCTATAAAATTGATGGAGTCCCTCGAAATTTGGTTGGAATGTTGCTAGAACAACGAGGAACAAAATTATGTCAGCGTTTCTTTCCTTTTTTATTGCTTTGTTTTTGTTCTTTCATGTTTGTTATGTTTTCTGTTTTAGATCGTCTGTTTATGAAATGCAAATATTTTCCTATTAGCAGCAGCGGCGGAGCGCAAGTTTATGTAAAAAAATTATTGGATTACAAGGCAATGCTGACAACTCTTCGAAGATTGATTATTTGTGACCGAAACTGTGCGGCTACTTTTCACGAGAGGTCATGTTTGATACCCTATCCAATCGACGGAAGAGTGTCCCTTCATTTTCTCCTTTACCATATTCCTGGCTTCCTTTAGGTCAGGGGAGGAACAACAAAATGGCTTATAGTTTAAATTTACAAACCCCTTCCTTGCCATAAAGTGTGTGGTACTTTATTTCCAAACAGTGCGCGTACGAATTTTTTTTCTTGAAAGTACCTGCGAAGGATTGGAATAACGTTGAACAAAGATTTTCTTCGTATGCGACTTACACGAAGGTGTTTGAATTTAGGGAAATTATTCAGAGAATACCACATGTTACCACTCAGCTATTAGGTCAGGTGATACTTCTAAGCCATACCCGATAAAAACATTAATTGATTATGAAACGAGAGTTTACAGCAAAGTAAACCGTTTATGAGAAATTGTCGGAGGCTGAAACCACTAACTCTGCTAGGATAGGAAGCTTGGTTACCTGGACAAGACAAAAACAAATGCCAATTTTCTCTCCATTGCTGTGGAATCAAGACTTTTCGCAAGAGTATGGGCAAAAAAGTGAAGCGAAAGTGGGACTGGAGTCCAAGATCTATCTATAATGACTTTTTTTAAAAATAAAGCTTAAAGCAACGCAATAAATCACGCAAATAAATATGTTGTGACGAAATAATGCTTGAGTCTTCCAATTTCTACAAGAAATAAGGTGTTTGTGGAAAAGAGAATAATTGAAAATTAAATAGACTTAGACTTATCAGAGACTCTCATAAGAAGAATATGATTGGTAATATAAGAAATGTCTTTTCAAGTTAACATTAACTCCCCCCCTCGACTCCCTTCCTCAATCCTTATGCATATGATACACGGGGTTACAAAGGCTGCTACTTGTTTGTTTCGTTTTTTTGTCTTGTTTCTCTTTTAACTTTTTTTCTGTTGTGGTTTTTTTGTTTGTGCACAGGGATGCTAAGGATGGTTTTCCTTTATTTCTTTTTTTTTTCGCTTTTAGTGTTGTTTTTCTTTTTGCATGCTTTTTTTTCTGTGACGTAGTATTGGAAAAAACTGGACTAAGATAAAGATCGTTTGAATAGATATTGTGTATATTTGAGTCAAAAAATTTGTAGTAAGGTTGATGATGTTATTGTTGTTCTTGTATAAAGCTTTAATACTTGGAAAAATTGAGGTCTTTCATCATCTTTAACTTAATCAATACTTTAACATGTTTTCTTGTAAAAGGACTCTTGACGAAAACAAGCTAAAGAATTTGTCTTCAGGCATTTTTAGAAACAACCGCCGTCTGTCTTTTCTGTAAGTAGGGGATGCTATAACATTTATTTACAACATAAATAGAGATACGTGTGAGATGACCAGAAGTAATAACCAAGATTTTTGTGACATGTAGCTCTTATATGAGTTTGTTCATGTTTGCTCTGATAAAATATTGCACTTTTATGAAATTTGTTTTAATTCAAAATACCTCCGAGCATTTACTGCTCTGAAAATCGCATGAACTTGTAATGAACCCTTTCATCATTGTTTGTACGAACTGTGTTGCATGGATATTTAGATTTCAGTGCAAATTGAGACTTCAACCTTGATATGTCTCAGAATGCACTGGTTGAAATGGGCTTTAAAGTAAGATGGTAAAAAGAGGCTACGTCGTATATAAAAATACTATTTCAATATTTATCATTAGGCCACAAATTTGTGTTAATGCATATACTAGGTGGCCATGATTAAAACAGAGAAAGCAGAAAGAAAAAAGCTAGTAATGATTGTACTTATAATATCAGTGGTAGTAATAATAATAATGATATTAATGATGACAATGATAGCAATAATAACAATTCTAAAACAACAATATAAATTTTACATCTTTGAGCCCTTTGGGATCTGGTAACAATCTGCCGATGGAGCGAAGAAGTGCGTGCTTTGATTGAAAAGTCGAACGTATTGTTTGCTCTAACATCAGTCAACCGGGTAAAAACGTATACCGAGAGATTCATACTAAAACAAAAGAAATACCAACAAAGAGCCACATCGAGAACATAAATAAGAGTGTGATGGAATTA